AGCTTCCCTGCACAGGGCTTTCCAATCTGTGAGCCTGATTTATTTTTTTCGATAAGAGAAAAGATGTAAGTCCCTTTGAGCAAAGTATGCCTGATATATATCACAATATTTATTTTTGGTGGAGTAATGGATCAGTCTTCGGGGAAAGCTAGAGAAAAGGCATTTTTGGAGCTCGGATGTAAATCAGTCACTCTAAAAACCGCAGGGGAATCTATATTCTTACCCCCCCTGCTAACGACAGTGTGAAACAAGCAGCTGACTTTTCAAAGTCATGGTACTGTTTGTTTCCAGACCTAACACTAAAGACAGAGCTAAGGATGGGAGGCCTGAGAAGCAATTGCTCCTGGGATGCCTGTACCAAATGCCCCCAAATGCTGGTACAACTCACAATGAAAGCACAGATCCACCCAGCCTGTGGGTGAGTTGTACACCTGGAGGGACAAACTCTAAGCTTTACTCTACTTGTCTACTCAGTTCTAAGGAAGAAGGACGAGGCGTGTGGCCGGGCTTAGGATATAAGGGTCTCCCAAAGGACCCATCCAGTTATTATAGGCCAGCCTTCCTATCTATATTAAATGTATCACAGAGCAGGACAGAGTGAAACTGAAGGACGGGGGGGTGGGGAAGAGATCTTCAATAGATTTGCAACTTTAAACAGAGCTCTTCGAAGGAAAGCTATTTAAATCTGAGTTGTTCCTAATATTAATTATTTTGAACATCTCCTAGGCTCAGATTCACACGCTACAAAGAACACAAAGCCTTTTAATTTTCCAACCTGTGCCTGGCACTGGCGGCGATAAATCAGATATACAGAGAAATCACACATGACTAACGAACGAGCCCACTAATGGGGAGCAAAGATCATTGGCCAAGATGACTTATTCAGACACGGCCACATATCATAAGCAGCAATACCCTGGCGGCCTAATGCAGCAGGCACGGAGGGCAAGAGCCAGGGCACTCCTTGCCAAGCTGCAGGCATTCCAGGGCGATTCGGGCATCTCCAGGTGCCTGCCATCCAAGCAGGAAAGAATTTACTCACGGCTGCCCCCTCCCCACTCCCTTCAAGTTAGATTTGCACTTGGAAAAACACTGCAGCTTGTAAAAGGCCTCTTGGGTCACAGAGCTGCTGAGCCCCCAAACCTTGCTGTGGCCCCGACTCTGAGACCCTTAGAATTCCAGGCACCCTCAGGAAGAAGACCAAGCCTCTGCCATCAGCAACTGAACTGCTGGTCTACAGATCTTTACTGGAGCCATTCATTCAAGTATCTGAGCTCTAACTGGGTGTCAGACCCTATTCTAGGTGCTTGGGCAGCCCCATAAACAGAACAGTAAACAGGTGGGAGTGAGGGAGAGAGAAGAGTGCCCTAAATGCCAGTCTCTTTGTTGTACCGTGAACACTGAGGCCCAGTGATAAATGGGAATTCTCCCCTGAGTTCAGAATTGACGGCATGGCTCGGACTGGAGCCCAGGTTGGATTCTTAGCGGGATTGCCACTTAGAGTGGCGCACAGGGCAATGGGCAGAGGGGATGGGGATGAAATTCAACCCATGTTCTTCATACAGACCAGGGGCAGCCCCGCTCCAGTGCTATGTTCTCACCGCCCCAGACTGCCCAATTCTCTTTAACAAAATCCCCCTTCACTGGAAGGGACAACTGAGGTTCCCCAGATCAGCAACCAACCTTCACTAATAGGACCCAGGAGAATTTGAATCCTTTCATTGGGATGTCCAAGCTATTCACTCCCAAACCTTATCTTGAGTGAGAAAAGTCTGTTGAACTTGAATCTGGAAGAGGCCCCCCTATGGCCAAGGTCCCCTGTAATAATTATAACGATCAGTTCCTATATCACGGTCGGATCTGAAAGGGAAGGCTGCTAGCAAGCTGTTTACATTCTCATCAACCCTTTCACTCTTCATGGTCCCAAGCTGAGGACCTGTCGCTGTCTAGTCCCATTTCTAATTCAATTTGGGTGAGAGGAAAGATTAACTTAATCAACTGTAGGAATACCTAGTCTTGACTAGGTGCTAAGGGATACAAGAGCGAAAACACCACCATCGTCAACAACACATCATCGCCCCTGACTTCATGGAACTGAAACATGTTGAAAACAGAGCTGGAAAGAGCCCAACTGCGATGGAGTCCCTGGCCAGACCGGCAGTCCACTTAGGGGCCAGGTCTGGAAGCAAGAGTGTATGTGACCAGCCAATTCTCCCCTCCCACACCCCACATCACAGAAGGAAAAACCAGGTCCAGGAAGGGGAGGAAGTGGCTCGCCCAGAGTCAGACAGTGGACGGTTGGGTGAGACTAGAACCCATGTTCTCTGGGTCTCCCCTTTCCACCACACTGCCTCCTCCAAGGTTCCAAAAACTGCAAAGTCAGGAGAAATAGTTGGTTCTAGTGACAGACCATTTCCTGATGCATGCACACCCAGAACGTGCAGCTTCAGCCATCTTATCAGCACAGGCCTCGTGCCCATGTCTCTCTCTCAAACCAGAATGATCATAAATATGCTTAGTTGATCTAGAGCCCAGGGGGCCAGTCTTCATTAACTCCCATCTGTCACCCTCTCTGAGCCTCTCTTGATGTTTACTTCCACTTTAAAAACCTCATCTTATAAGAACAGAGCCCTTTTTATCTGATGCTAGCTCCCTGTCTGCTCCTGGGGGTCTAATCAATCCACGTCTGGAAACAAACAAGCCAGAGAGGAAAGCAAGAGTCCCTTTTATGAAAACAGGCGACTTTCTAAAATGCTTTACCCGTGGGCAGGGCACAGATAGAAATTTAAATGAGAAGGAAATAAAGACGTCCTCCGGCAGTAGGCATACGCGTTCCTCAGCAAGCAGGACACCAGGAAGGTAACTCTGTGTTAGCAGCTGAACCAAAAACTCTGCCCCACGTTTTTCAGGTTGTTTGTTGGGGGGGGGGGGGGGGGAGGGGGGTAGTTCCAAACTCAAGAAGCCTGAAGAGACAACAGCCTTCAAAACCTACTAGGTACACAGTCCAGCCCCTCCCTTCCGAGGAGCTTAAGGTCTTCAAGACAGTAAGAGAGCGCTCACGGAATACCAACCGCAGATGCATGCAAACAGGCCTCCAGCTACTACCAGGGGTGCACGGAGACACCAGACAGAAAGATCCAGACAGCTGGCAACCCACATGGACCTCTGCCCATCCTGTTATTTTACACCCACCTGCAAAGCAGTCTCCACACCTCCCAGCACCCTCCAGCAGCTGCAGCAAGTCACCGCCCGCAGCTGCTGCCAGCAAGGGAGGCTGTCTTTGTACAGAGGGGCAGAACCATGTTCCCCACTGGCCAGCCCACCCTTCCTACCAGGGCTCCTGACCCCAGGCTTTCAGAAATGGGTTACACAACCAGATATAAACGCAGAGAGCGCCTCTTTTGAAGAAGACAGTAGTCACTTCTTCATCTTTTGGGAGATCTTGTTGAAAATTGGATGGCAGCTCTGGACGTCCCCCGAGAAACCGCACGCATGCAGTTTATACGTAATTTCACTGGTGGTGACTGAAAGCGCAGAGAGAGCTAATGTGTTCAGAGGCGGCTGTGAGAAAGGGAGCTGCAGGGGGTCCCGGTGAGCAGCCAACAACACAGTTCCTTAACCAAAAGGGGAGAAATGACGACCCTTCCTCAGCCACTGCAAGTTCTGGCCTTCAATTAACTTCTGAGATTTCAACAAGACTTTGGAAGCTGAGAGCCCACGCACACACACACAAAATAAGGACTCATCTTTGTGGCTTCCTATCTTGACGTCACCAAATGTCCTGTGATTGCGAGTTAAGATAGACTCCAAACAGGGCTTAGCGTAGAAGGGCTGAGTAACAGCAGACACAAGTTGGGAAGAGGTGGGCACTGGGAGGGAGGGCGGTCCGGACAAGGAGGGACAGCTAAGCTCTCCAGTGGCCCTGAGCAGGTCTGGACAGGGCAGGACCGGACCCTCGCTGCGTGCTCCCCCTGGAAATCAGGGCACACCTGCTGACTCCTTTGCAGCAGACCAAGAAGTCCAGACAGAAGCAGCTCTCTCCTTCTGGGCCCACGGGAGGGGGAGCATCCTCTCCCTTCTAGGAGACCCCGGCCCACCGTGCGCCCACAGCCCCCTTGTGGCCTGGGGGTGTCACTACAGCCCCCTCTGCATTGCTGGGCACAAGCCTCCCACAGGCAGCTCTAACAGGAGTGGAGCAGAATCTTTAGCACCAGCCGAGGCTTGACAACAGCCTTCAAGCCATGGTGAGGCTGCGTTCGCTTTCGGCTTCTTAAACTAAGACTAAGACTCCAAGTGATCCTTCTAAACCCCTCCTTGGTACAATCCCTACAGGGAACAAGTCCAAGACCTGCTTCATTAAGCCAATAACCTCGGAGCTTCTGTACCGTTACCACCGCCTTATTGATCATTCCTTCCTGCATTATGCAATTATGTACAGTTGCTCCAAAAGGTCACTAGAAGCAGTTAGCAAGCACACACAACATCCTCTGGTTTGCAGGTAGCTGGCTAGATTACAAAATACCTGCAGGACACCCAATACTCCCCAAATCCTGGACTTCCAGGGTAGCAGATCCCACAGGGGTTTGGGGGAAGTCAGGACTTAAGGACACAGTGAGAAAGAATGCGGCCCTTGGCCCCATGCAGGAAGAGAAGGTGTCCACTAACCAACCTGAACTCCACTCTCACTTGGCAACTCCACAAAGAGAGGGCGTGGAGCCCCCTGGGCTGGGGACTGGACTGGATAGACCAGAGTCTTGGGGTGGGGGACAGTTGGTCCAATGGGTCAGCTTCCATCTGTCAGGGGTGGGGATGATTAACTGAACCCAGCCAGGGAGAGTGCCAGAGAGGACTGAAGGTGGGAAGTTCGGGAGGAGCAGGGAGGGTGCAGTGTGCCTGGAGGGCCTCGAGCAGACCAGGGGCGCGGAGCGCCTGGGGCCAGGGGAAACGGATGGAAGCACAACGGATCTTTATTTCTGGGGCGGGGGGAAGAGAGTCCTTACCTCCTTGACTTTCTCCCGCTGAGTTCGAACTACGCTCTGGGGCTCCTTACTCTCGTCGCCCCTAGTCCCCAGGACCGGGTGGCGGAGCCGGCTCCGGAACGCACTGAAGTCAAAGCTGAACGGGATGCTCTCCTCCTGGGGTCTGAGGGCCGCGACGCCGCTGCTCCGGGCCGCCGTGGCCTCCTCCCGGGGCCCGGTGGGGTGGGTGCGCCGCAGCCACCCTTTCCTGCGGCGGGTAGTGGCTTGGCTGCTGGGGTCGTCCTTGCCGGGGGCCGGCGCAGCGGGGGCCGGGTTGGGAGGCGACTCCTGCTCGTGGGCCAGAGGGTGGCTGGCGGCTTCGGCCATTGCCTCCAGGCCGGGCTGCGGGGTCCGAGGGGCCAGGAAGAGGCGCTTGAGGCGAGAGGACTTGGGCAGCAGGAAGAGGGCCCCAAAGCACAGCGTGATGAGGCCCGAGAGGAAGAGAAGGAAGAGGAACTTCTGCGGCAGCCGCAGCCCCCACGGGGAGGCCGGGACGAAGCCGGGCACTTTCCTCATGAGCATCGTGGCCTGGCGCGGGGCTGGGGACAGTCAGCTCCGGCCGGGCCCCGAAGCCCTCGGCGTCCAGGCACTTGGCAGCAGGGGGCTCGGCCAGGGGAGGTGGTCGAGGGGCGCCACCCGGGCCGGGGGTCCCTGAGAGTTTTGCCGCCCCGGGGACTGCCCCCGAAGTTCAGAGAGTTCAGAGTGGGTCCCCCCGCGCTGCGGCGGGGGCGCAGCAGCCTCGGCGGGGCCCGGGCGAGCCTGGGCGGCACGGCTCGGGGCCCGGGCCCGCAAGGGTCGGCCGCGCGCTGCAGCCTTCCCCCGGCCGCCGCGCAGCCGCTCCTCGCCGCGGCCGGAGCCCGCGGGGCCCGCGCCTTCCCGCGTGCGGCTGCCGCCGGGACTGTCACATGCCGTCCGCGGCGCCCGGGCTGTCGGCGCGGAGGGGCGCCCGCAGGCCTGAGCCCCGCGCCGAGCCCCCCTCGGCCCAAAGTTTCAGCCTCAGAAGCAGGCGGCCGGCTCAGGGGGCGAGGAGGTGGCGGGGCCGGCGGGTCAGCGCCGCTCCGAGAGCGCGCCGCCCGGCCGGGTCGCTACAGCGCCTGGGCTCGGCTGTCAGGACACGTCCACAACTTTGCTTGGCCGCGGGGCGGGCGAGGCGACGAGAGCAGGCACTCCGAGCGTGCAGGGGCTGGGGCTGCCCGCGCCTCCGAGAGCGGGGGGCTGCCCGCGCCCTAGTCCGCAGCCGGGCGCCGTCCGCCCCCAGCCGCGCCGGGGCGGCTGCAGCTGCGCCCGGGAGCGCGGGCTCCCGCCCCGCCAACTCCGGAGGGCTCCGGGCTCCCGCGAGGATCACCTGTTCCCGGCCCCGCTGGCTCCGCGGAGTGTGCAGCCGGGCTGCGCCTCCCCCGCTGCAGCTGGCGTCCTCGCCGCGGCCGCTCCAGACGGGCCGCTGCCGCCGCAGACTGAGCCGCCGCGCCGCGCCGCGCCGCGCCGCGCCGAGCCGAGCCGAGCCTGCGCCCCGCAAGCGCGCTCTCCGCCCGGACGCCTCCGCCGCCGGCGCCGCAGCCCGGCTGTCCCCGGGACCGCGCCCGCGCCCCGCCTCCCGCCGGCCACGCCCTCCGGCCACGCCCCCTGCGCGCCCCTCGGGCCCGGTCCGCCGCGGCGCCGCACCAGGCCAATGGCCTGGCGTCTGGGCCGGGAGTGCGGGGCCTAAGCGAGGGTGGGGAGAGGACACGGGACTCCAAGCCACGCCCCCTCCCCCACGGCCCGCGCCGCGCACACTTCCCCAGTCCCGCCAGCACCAATGGTCCAGCTGCGCGGGGCTGGCGAGGGTGGGGGTGCAGAGCGGAGCGAGGTCATTGGCTGCCTCGGAGGGATCCCCGTTGGGCCGCAGCCGCCCATTGGTTAGTGCCCAGCGTTCGCTGGACTGGGAGCGACCGAGACCCCCCTCCCGCCCCCGTCCGCGCTGCTCTGGTTGTTGGTCCCCGGGAGGGGGCAGGAGACCCAGCTGGTCTGGGGGTCTCTGGCCGTCGTTCGGTCACCTCTCTCACCTTTCTGTGCCAGTCCAGGATTGGCAGGGAGCTGGGGGACTGCCCGGGGGTCCCCAGAGCGTCCGCGGGAGCCGCGGTGGTGCTGCTGTGGCAAGGGGTGGCCAGAGCCAAGCCACAGAGCTGTGGCTGCGCTTGGGCCGGCCTAAGGCAGTTGTTTGCACGGGACCCCCGCAGACCACTGCTCAGCCTTCCTTACCCACAGCCCCAGGTCTGGCCGGGGCCCCTGGGTGGGGCAGGGGGAGACGCTAGCCGCAGCGGTACGAGGGCAAGGAAGGAGAGAGAACCCTAGTCGTGTGCAGAGACCACACACATCATGTGACATGCATATCTAGATGCCTGCATGTGTCCTGTGTGCACGTGTGCTCCTATGCATAGAAACACAGGGACTCAGAGATTGCATGTGGGTGTGTACTTGCACACAAGCATACACAATTTGGCTATGGACACCAAGTGATTATACCAAAGCGTACACAGACATATATATCTATTAGTGCAAATATTAACATGTGCACACACATACCCACACAACAGGTCCAAAAACACACACGTGCACACTGCCAGGGATATATTCCCAGACACATGTGTGTCTTGACTCCAAGGCCCTCACACCTTCTTCCTTGGGCGTAAGTCTGTGTCTTCCCTTCCTGTTAAACCTAACCCAGGGCAAAGCAACATTGTGCTGCGTGGGTCTTTCATGCAAAACACTTTATAGAGACAAATAACAGCAGAGGGAGAGACAAATTAAGAGGTGTAATAGGCAAGAGGGAAAATATCTGCTTTCAGCTGCAATTTAAAGTGAAATGCAGCGTTGACGAGACAGAAAATACTGCAGGGAGGCCTTTCCCAGCAGGAGCAGCGGTCCGGGCGGGCTCGCATCTCATAAATCTTGCTTCTTCCCTGAGGCCTGAGGCTACAAACGGGCCATTGGGATTCAGACATCCTTCTACCTCTGGCCAGGCTGCTGACAGCAGACTCGCCCTGATATTTAAATACCCTTGGCGTGTAAATTTCTTTTAATTGAAAAGAAAAGACTGCTCTGGGTAACGGGGGCAAATATTTTGGTCACTGGAGATGAATAGTCTCTCCCAACCCCACAAGTACACCCAGCTTAAATGTAAAATTCTAATTCAGATGTTTCAGTGTCTCTCATGAGCTTGACTGGCAGGCGACCGTTGCCTGGAACCAGCTGTGAACATCAGAGACAAGCACGTGATGCACCTGACACAGGAGCCCAGAGGCCTGGCCTGGCCTCTTCCCACAGCAGACACTCAGTTCCTCACAGCGGGGACCATGTCTTGTTCACCTCTCCAGCTGCCCTAGGTCATCACTACAGTGCTTCCCACACGGGTGCTGCTTGTGGAGTAATGGATGAATAAGTGAGTGGATGCCCGTTTCACAGATGAGGAAACTGAGGCTCGGGGAAGGGCATGATAATAAACTAACATTTTCTATGTGCCGAATCCATACTGCTTCATTTACTTTTCAGAACATTCCTAGGAAGCAGATATTATTAATAGTCTCATTTTACAGCCAAGAATACTAAGGCTAGGGAGACTGAGGAGAGGTGAACAAGTATCTTTCTCAGTTTAATTCAGAAACTCAAGTGGGACTGGGAACAGAAACGAATAGCCGTTTAAAAAATCTCTTCCATCAACAAACATTTATTGAAATTAGATGCCAGGTATTGCGCTAGGCTCGGGTTGGACACAAAGATGAGCAAAGCCTGGTCGCTGTCATTAGTGATTGGTTCATTCAGTAAAGAACCACCCATTAAACAGCTACTGTGTGCCAGGTACAGAGGGGTGGGGATAACAGCCCTAAATAAGGCAGCGTTGAAGCCCACTTCAGGGAGCTTCTTATCTAAAAGGCAATAGGGACCAGTGCAGCCCGTCGGGAAGGGAACACCAGGCACTGGGCCCTGTGCTGAGGGCTTCACTTCCATCCTATCCGGCCCTCACAATGGCCCTCTCTGAAGCAGGCCTTGAGATCCCAACTTAACAGACGGGGAAAGTGAGGCTCAGGGGTGTGCCATGACTTGTGCAAAGTCACATAGGGAATAATTTGCAAATACGAGAGAAAACCAGACTCATCTAATCCCAGAATCTATGCTGCTTCTGTTAATAACATTAATAATAACGAAGATGAATGGGGTACTCACTATGTGCCAAGTCCTTGTAAAAGCATATTATAGAAACTCACTTATTGATCCTTGCAACCACCCCATGAGACAGGTACTATTATTACTGACATTTTACAGAAGAGGAAACTAAAGCACAGAGATGTTAAGGAACTTGCCCAATGTCACCCAGCTGGTAAGTGGCAGAGGGGGTATTTGAGCCCAGTCAGGCTCCAGAGCCCTTTATGTCTTTCCGAGTCTATTGCTCTCTATCTTATAATACCATGAGGGCAGGTACAAGGTCAGAGTAGGGAAAGAGCACCTGCCTCAGGCAAAATTTTCACAGGCTTGTTGGGAGGATTATATGTGCTCATTCAGTCATTCAACAAGTAGGTATAAAGTACTTACTATGTTCCAGACAATATGCTAAGCTTCAGGGATATAATGGTGAGCAAAAATAGATGCGTTGTTCCCATTGTGGAGCTTACAGTCTCATGGGGAAGAGGAGTTTAAGCAACCCCCAAATAAGTATGCAAGCTAAGAGGAGAGAGAAATGCTCCTATAAGAACATGTAACAGTGGTTCTGGACTCAGAGTCCAAGTGGGTGAGATGTGGTGAGGATGAGAGGAGTTACTTAAGCAAAGAGGGATAGTGAGACAAGCCAGGCTAAGGGGGCAGCATATGCAAAGGCCCTGGGGTGGAGGGAACATAGTGTTTTGAGAGCAGACAAGCCAGTATGTCTTGGGTAGAGAGAATGATGGGGAAAGACAGGAAGCATCACTGAATGATTTAGGGCAGGAGTAGGAATGTGTGTGTAGGAGTAAGTGGGTAGGTGGATTCGGATTAACATTTTAAAAAGGCTACTCTAGCTACAGTGTGAGAAACAGAATGGAGGGCAGGAATGAATGAAGTGGGTGCCTTTCAGAGGATATTACAATAGTCTATGGTGGCTTGAACTGGAGAAGTGGGAGGCGGACAGTACCACAGGATCCAAATCATATTTAGAATCCAAAAGATTGATAAGACTTGGTGATGACTTGAAATTGGACATTGATAGAGAAGAAGGCAGCTGCAATGATCCCCAGGCCTCTAACTTGTCCCCGGCCGGGGGCATGTGTTGAGATGGGAGCAGTGAGCCAGGCGGTCAGGGTGCTGGGCAGCTGGTGCAGAATCTGAATCTCAAATGGCCATTAGTCCTATTTAGAGTTGAAGACTAGAGATAAAGGCAAGCTCCAGCCAAGAGATAATCATCGGGCAGCTTCCTTAGTCGCCTGCAGACAAATTCAACCCCGGGCAGGAGAGACACTGCGGACTAGGGGCCTGCCCAGTGAGAGCACCCCAGCTTGGTCCCCGGGCAAAAGGCCCTGTGGCTGTCCTGGGCGCGCTCCATCCTGCAGGCTGCAGGACCCAGTCAGTGCCTCGATGTGCAGGGGGAGCTGATTTCAGGGTCACAGAGCCTAGAACGCCTGCCCTCAGACTCTTAAGAGAAGATCACAAAAAGTTTCTTTTCAAATCTTCCTGCCTGAGCCCTTGGCCTTGCATCGGAGGTGGCCCAGCCCACCAGGAGCAAGAGTTCTTGCCTGGGCGCAG